TTTGAAAGAACCAGTGGGTTCACCATTGATTAGGATTGAGAAGTGGGTGGATTTAAGATTTGCAAAGAGAATTCTGATGACATGAGGGGAGAAACCAAAAGCTGAAAGAACACCCTGGAGGTACTCCCAGTTGAGCCTATCAAACGCCTTGGCCATGTCCACCTTGATGATGAGATTCCCCCCATTAACTTTCCTGTCAAGGGAGTGATGGAGTTCTCCGGTAATAAGAATTTGATCAGCAATATCCTTCCCTTTTTGAAAGGCCCCTTGTTCCATGGATATTAGTTTGGGAAGGAAGGATTTGAGTCTGATGGCAAGGAGCTTGCTAAGGATTTTACTCATGAAGGTAGAGAGGGAGATGGGGCGAAAGTCGTTGAAAGTTTGAGGGTTTGGGATTTTGGGTATAAGGGTTAAGGTGGTGGCCCCATAAGCTGTGGGAGGGGGAATTCCCAGGAAGAACTCTTGCGCGGCAAGTAGGAGGTCCTTCCCCAAGATGTGCCAGGTCCTGCGAAAGAACGAACTCTCCATTAAATCCATCCGGGCCACAAGTGCTATGCGGGTCAAGTTCCCAAACTGCCTGTTTAACCTCTTCCATGGAAGGAAGGCGTGATATGAAGGCATTATCTTCCTCACTGATTACTTGGGGGATAAATTTCAGAATCTCCTGAGGATCAGTAATGCTGGAGTGGGAGAAGGTTTGGGTGAAGAAGTCGACAGCTTCAGCCTTAATGCTTGCAGCGTCCTTAAGCGTTTGACCTGATCTGGATTTGATTTGTGATATAGTGAGTTTAGCTCTCCTGCCCTTAACAAAGGAATGGAAGAACTTGGAATTGCTGTCTCCCTTTTCCATCCACCGTATTTGGGCCTTTTGCTTCCAATATTCCGTCTCTTTTTTAGTTGCCATTAGCAGGTTAGCCATAGCTTGCGACCAAGCTTCCCTATTGGATTCAATAGGGTTGGAATCATAGGAGAGTTCTGCAGTGATGGCTTCTTCCTCTGCTTTTTTAAGATTTTGAAAAATATCACCAAAGGATTCCTTGTTCCACTTACGGATTGCTGATTTTAGCTCCTTTAATTTGTTGCTAAAACCTCTCATACCTCCACAAGTTCAAGTAGAAGTCCAGATGTGATTAATAGTTGTGAGAAATGAGGGGTTTGAGAATCAGACATTAAGGACTTTGAACCCTTTAGGAGATCTTGGGGTTTCCAGAATGCAATCTAGCAGCAAGGGGTTATGATCTGAGCCTGCCTTACTAAGGTGGAGGCATTTAATATCTGCAAAAAAATTAAGACAATCAATGTTAGCCAGGACCCTATCCAACCTTCTCCAAAGCCGCCCTTGCCCTCTATTCCCACTCCAAGTGAACCAGCCCTTAACAAGTTGTATGCTTGTGAGGGAGTTACTGGAAAGGCATTCTTGAAATTCTTCTATGCTTTTAAGGGGTGGAGAGGAGTTGCCTTTGTGTTCATCTAGGGAGAGGATTGCATTGAAATCCCCCCCTACAATCCAAGCCTCATCTGAAGGACATGTTTCTGAAAGGGAATGCCAGAGCTCTTGACGCTCAATGATAGAGTGTTTTCCATAAACAGCAGTAATGTTGAAGATTTTATTGAGTTCCTTATGGAGGAATCTGCACGAGATGGATTGGGAGTTACTGGAGAATCCAAGGAGGTGAAGGATATCATCACACCAGAAAGTCCAGATCTTATTATTAGGGTTAGCCAAGCAGTGGGAGAAACCCATTGAGAGCTTAAAGAAGGGAAGTTTGTTACAATTTACAAAAGGCTCAAGGACAGAAAGAAATGGGATAGAGTGGGCTTTGAGAAGGGATTTAAGCCTGTGGAGAGAGGAGGCAATCCCACGAACGTTCCAGAATAAGAGCTTCATTGATTAACAGGAGGAGGAAAGCCAACGCCAAATTTCTGGCTTCTAGTGAGGATATTACTTGGGGGGTAGTTCCTCTTCTTTCTAGGCCCCCTTGGGGCGCCAACCCCTTTCGAAGCATATTTCTCAATGTTGAGATGGAGGGGTTGCAGTTTTTCTTTATTGAGAGGCTCATACTCCCCTTCTGAGTGACAGTGTACCTCCCTCAAATCCTCTTGAGAGAAGTCCGAAGGGTAAAGATGCTGGAGTCCAAGGGAGTTAAGGATGGTAAAAGTTGGATCTTGGGAAATAAGGTTCGTCATGGAGTCATCTTTGTTGCCTCCTGTATTGCGTGGAGAGACCGGCGGGGTGGGACCAAGATCAATAAGGTTGGTGGGAGTGGCAAAGGGGGAGGGTTGTATAGGGGGGGGGGAATGGAGAGCTCCTGGTTTTTGAAAGCTTGGCACCCACTATCTGAAATGGTAGTGGGTTGTGGGTCAACTGACGAGGTGGAAGGCTGGTTGAGAGGTGGTAAGACATTAAAGGGAGGGTGGGGTGAACAAAGGATGGAAAAATCACGTACCGTACTTCGACCTCCCCGTCCCTGTCGAAAGGTCTCCACTCCACCAAATGAGGAACCGTATACAACGAACCGAAAAAAACAAACCTGGTGACAGGTTGGTCGAAGTGAGAGAGGATAGTAACGGTGGAAAAGGAACGGCCGCAACACCTGAAGGGGCGGCCGTTGTCGGGACTTTCCTGTTAAGACGCTGGCGTGACCAAGTTTGAGGCATGAATGACAAAAGGAAGGGAGTTTTTCATAAGAAATGGGGAAGAGGTGTTCCTTTTCGCCCAGTCTGACATGGAGGAAAGGAGGTGGAGGATTGGAGACATCAATTTCGATGCAAATTCTTGCCCTCTCAACGTGACCCCAGATGCAGTACGAGCATCCATTTTTATGGGTTTCCCTAGCGCTGAGCAAAGAGTGAACAAAGGTTTAGGCTGAATCAAATGTAGAGGGATAGCTTTGATAGTAACCCAAATCGGCACAAGAGGGCAGTCACTAGAGGATTTGTAATCAGGGGACCATTTGAACACATAAAGGGAGTGGCCTCCAATAACCCAACTCCTGCGCAGGAAAAATCTGAGGTATTCATTTTCCTCCTTAAAGGAAAAGAGCGTGTCATGCTTGGTGAGGCTCTGAATATGAACATGCTTAAAACCAATAGCCCTCAGGCTATTCCGGATGGCAGATAGGGGAATCGAAGCCTTGGACCTTCCAATAACAGAGAGTTTGAACTTACCTGCTAGAGTCCGGATCTCATCGTGGGAGAAAGAGACTGAGGGATACCCATGGAGGAAACCACTGGCAGATCCAATCGGTTGAACATCTGGGGAGAAGAGCTCGGAGAATAGCTTCCTTTTGGGCAAAACGCGAGTTGGTTTCTCCGCCGGAGAGTTTATATATATATATATATATATATATATATATATATATATATATATATATATATATATATATATATATATATATATATATATATATATATATATATATATATATATATATATATATATATATATATATATAGATTTTGGTTCAAATGAGAATGCGATCTTATGAAAGAAATAAGAATGAATATGGTGTTTTAGATTGTGAGATCTAAGGGTGAGGATTGCATCAAAATTAGGTGCACCAAAATGATTTGAAAATGCATCATGTTGAAATGCAGCAAAATCCTTTAAAAATGCACTATCTCAAAATCTGAGTGCAGGATGCAATCTGAGCCGCACGATGCATCAGATCCAAAGGTTAGATTTCATTCTTATTTCTTTCACCAAGGTGCATTCTCACCTGAACCGCCCCTATATATATATATATATATATATATATATATATATATATATATATATATATATATATATATATATATACTTGCTGAGCGTTTGGAAGGTAGTATATGTGACATCATCCTTTAAACGGGTGTTCGGTATGCGTACCCGTTGCCCACGACCAACTATAGGATCTGGTGTGGGTGCTGCCTCGTCGGCAGTGGTTGCTGCCTCGTCGGGTAGGTGGTCCGTCAGTGCAGTACTGGTGCTGTCTCCAGTGCTGGCAGCGCTGGACGATGTCATGTCGCTCGCTGCTACGGGTGCGGTGTCTTTGGTTGCCGGAAGGGGCTCCGACGCTGGGTTGTCGGTGGCAGCGTCGAAGACCGTAGGTGCTGCAGCACCAGGTCTTCTTGGGGGCCGTGTGATCAGATCCTCCTCTATTGGTAATGGGCCGTCCGACACTGGCATTGGTTGGTCGGTCTCTTTATCTGAAAGGGTTAGATATGGAAAAATATTTTCCAAAAAAATAACATCACGGGAAACAATTATTTTCCCCGTGTCGGGGCAATAAATTCTCCATCCCTTCTTTCCATGTGGATATCCGACAAAGATACCCGGTGTGCTTCGTGGAGCGAACTTATCGCTCTCTCGTCTTCGAACATAGCATCTGCATCCAAACACACGAATGTGAGATAAGTGAGGTGGGTTCTCATGCAATTTGGAGTATGGTGAAACCCCCCCAAGAGAGAGGACGGTGTTCGATTAATTAGGTAGGCGGCGGTTTGGATACAATCGCCCCAAAATTCAATTGGCAGTCCAGATTGAAATCTCAGGGCGCGAGCGACATTGAGAATGTGGCGATGCTTCTGCTCAACTCGTCCGTTATGTTGTGGAGTGTCGACACATGAGGTTTCATGAAGGATTCCTTGTTCCCTGAAGAATGCATTCAAACACTCAAACTCGGTCCCATAGATCAGATGCAGACTCACCCGTAGAGATCGTGGATCGCAACGATGGTTCAATCGTGTTGCGTATCCATGACACTATAAGCGAATGATTGGTCCACCAATCATCCAGGTCATCTGAGTCTGGATCCGGCTGCGTTATTGATCGATCAACGAATCCAAATTTCTTGCGAGCCCGTAAGGCAAGGCGTAAGGATTTGGACCATTCGTCATTGTTTGGTCCCTTAAGAACAACCTGGATTAAAAGCATACCCGGATTGTCGCTGGGTGAGAGATCGTAGGGCGATATGCGACGACGTCTTTGCACCATGTCGTCGTCGTTCTCGTCCACATGATTCTTCGGTGATGCTTTCAGATCCTTTAATTTGGGGTTGCCTCGCCTGCCATGCTTGCTGTTCGCCGGAGGGAGATCGTTCACCGCCAAAGAAAAAAATGAAGTAGTTCGTATGATGCTGGATGGTAACGTGCAGCTGTAGCACACGAAGGAATAGGTATTTTAGGTTTGCTCTGATACCATGTTACGCAGAAGTGTTTCTGGGCTGAAAACTATTGTATTCTCTCTTGATTCTGTACAATACAATGGAGAGTATATATATACAGCAAGGTATTCCTTATTCCTAATAGGATTAGGAATGCTAATCCTATTCCTTAGCAAGGTATTCCTTATTCCTAATAGGAATCCTAATAGGATTAGGAATGCTAATATTCTAATATTCCTTTTCCTTCTCTAACATATATATATATATATATATATATATATATATATATATATATATATATATATATATATATATATATATATATATATATATATAA